AGTAATTACAATTTATTCGGTACCACGGACGAGTTGTAAAGATGCTTTAAAATGCCATTTCTGGGTTTATATGTATACTTGACGCACGGGGTATTGATATGTTCATTGAGATTAAACCTTTCGACAATTTTGTCCAAACGATGCCATCCAGTTTTAATGTAATAACTATTGGTTGACCCATTGCCCGTACACATGAGCACGGCATAGGCGGGTAGTGCTCTGTTTGCACCCCAGGAAGAAGGAAAAACAGCATCCCTATTGGAATGATAATTTGTTGGTTTCTCCGTATAATCTATAGGTAAATTTCGACGACGAAATATTTGCGAGCGAATTTATGGTCATCGGTTTTTCTCATCATTTTTCAAAATATAGTTGACGTGTTCGACTTTATGGTTCAAACCCACACAAAGTTTTCCAAAAATTACGTGCATAGAATTGGCACTTTCGGTTATTGTCGTACCCGTGTCGAATAAGCATCTCACTCCTTTTGGTATTATTTCTACGTAAACCTCTTTAATAAAGGACCCTAGTGGCAACATAGAATATTCTACAGGAGATAAATAAAATGGTATCCAGTCGACAGGTACGTATGCTAAGCTTGTAGTTAAACCCATATAATTGCTTTCTTTACCTTTTGGTCCTTAATTAAATCGGTTTGATGCAAATCCCCATGTATGCATGATGCATGACTTCTTATAAAATGTAAATGTAGGACTAGCCAGTGACTTCATCATATACAGTACACCCATTCCGTTTGTAGGATTTGTAACCCCTTCCGTATTGGACGGATTTTCCATTTCTTCTCCGCCATCTACTTCGTCGTTATTCATGGGAGCATTCCCTCGACTCATTTAGGTGCCATATCCTTCGTCTTGTCCAATATTCGAAACGTCATGAGAAGATGAAGGTTGAGCAGGATCTTGTGTAGGATCTCGTCTTGACAATAGTTCCTTATTACGAGCTTCATTTTGTCGATGTTCATTATCTCCTCTCCTTTTAGTTAGGCCAAGACGTATTGGCAATTTTTTATATTTTTCCTCGTGCTTATTGGCCATGTCAGGATATAATACACCTGTGTTTTTTTCCAGAGTATTCTTAAGTTTTAAGCCAGCGGCACCTAAAATTCTATTGGTAATATAAAGAAAAATTTAAAATAACCAAACTTACCGATCAATGAATGCCAATTACCCGTTGTTAAAAAGTCACTCCAAAATTCTCTCACAGCCTCTTCGTCGGCTCTTAATACGTCTTCAGCCGATATGGCGTTGGTGTAAGCGTAGTCGTGTTTTTCGGCTATGTAATCGTCACGATCAACGGGCTCCCCACTTTCCAATTCGTTTCCGGGACCCAAATATCGATTATATGGTAACACGAAGCGCGGAGGCATACTGCGAAAAAAATGTTTACGGAATTGCCTTATATAGAGAACCTAATCCAGAAACCGCCTAAAATCCGAAACCAGCAGCATCAGTTTTGAATGTAAACATACTGGAAGCTTGTCGCAAAAACACATTGTTTTTGTTCCAGCAGCTACAACAGCAGCACCCAGTATAAAAAAAATATATTCTTTATAAGAAGCCTCTTTCCTTAACCAGCGACTACAACAAGTGGTATATATTATTATAAAATTAACTTATATCCAGGGTGTTGTTCCTGCTGCTGGTTAAGGAATGAGAGGTTTTTTATAAAGAATATATTTTTTTTATACTAGGTGCTGCTGTTGTAGCTGCTGGAACAAAAACAATGAACTAAGGAAGTATGACCCCTTGATATTGTCTCATGTAAAGCATGAAATAAATAACTTCATTAATTATATACATTTATTGTTATTTATATAGCTCTATTATTTTTATGAGTATTACTATTACTAATGTATATTATTATTATTATTTTTCTTTCTTTCACTTAGCGCTCGTGCTAAGGATGTGTGTAGTAATAAAAAGGGTGTCGACTTAAAAAGACGTTCTTGTTTTCCTGACTAGCAATAAATATTTACAATTTACTCTATTGCATTTTTACTTACCTTGACATATTTCCGAAGTACCTCGGTAATTGCATCACAAACTTTGAGTATTATTAATGAATGACACACGACACACAAAATAAATATTGCAGGCCAGTGTATGAGTCCCGAGTAGCTAAATATCTTAGTGTTATCAGCAATCTTTCTTGAACGGTGGTGGCCTCCCGAAAATTTGTGTCTTTCTTTCTAATCAAATCAGATATAAGAGATTGTAGACTGTTAAACTCATCTAAACTCATACTAGTAAAATTTGTACTATGTTGTCTAGGGTCATTTCTCTTAATAACCTGTTTTCGTATTCTAGACGGTTCTTATATAAATTCTTCACCCAAACGCGTCTCGTTTTTTTTTTTTTTAGGAGAACTTGACGTATAATTAAAAATGCTGAAACAGCCCTAACAATTCGCACATAAGGAGCCATAACTTCAACTATTAATAACTTAACACAACACTGATCCGACACTGTTGACAAAAATATGAATTTGCCTCCCAAAAAAGGGGTGTGGGTTGCCGCGCGAAAAAGCTAATTTTTTTTCTGGAATCAAATTCAACCGAGGTAGGCTCGCGAGGTATAAGCCCAAGGCTGCCTCGCGAGGCAATTCGCCCAACTAAAAATTATCTGATAAATTTTATGCACTAAATTTGACCATCGTACGATAGTTTTATTAATTGACATCGGCGATTTAGCTGGCAATAATTAGTTAAAATACAACCTCAGTTACGATTCTTAGATGTGGATGCTCCAATTCGACTCAACGAGTCGACTTCTAATAAAGATAAAATTAAATAAGATTTTTAGATCCTTATACTGCCAAATCATCGCTCTCTAAACAAAAATAAATTGTGTTTTTATACGAGACCTGTGAAATTTTGACGGAACGTTGTAATCAGGATCCAAATTTCTTAAGAAAAATTTTATTTTATTTTTGGATGGGCCCATATTTATGCTGACCAGTTCTTTTAACTGCCACAATTGCCGCTATTGGTCCGATCAATACTGGCATTGAATAGAGAAGACACACACACAACACCTTCTGAAGATCAATGCATGGGCAGGAATCATTGACTAACACAAAATAGGACAATTTCTTATTGAGCGCAATCTAACAACAGAACGATATTTAAACCTTCTCCAGACCTATATCGTTCTATCAGTAAGGGTACTGTAACCTGGAGAAAATAATAAAGTAAACCTCACCATTTGGTTCAAGCAAGACGGTGTCTATTCTATCGAGCAGTTGGATTGGTAGACGAGGGCCAATAGAGTGGTTACTAGGTGTATAGACCTAACACCACTGAATGTGTTTATGGGGTCATTTGAAATTAGCGGTATACAAAAATAGGACAGACAATCTTCAGGTTTCAGAGAAAGAGTAATTGGCGAAATTCAGAATTTTCAAAACGTTTGACTGCAAAATGTAAAACAACAATTCAAAAATAGTTGTAAATTTTAAATAGAGATGCAAACAATAGCCGTGTTGTCGAGAGCGATCAGTAGATATTTTCTTGAATTTGTGTTTCTTTGTGTACCCTGCAGATTTTGAGTTATATTTTATTTTTATTTGTTTGTAGTGTTGTCTTTTGAGTAGTGACTTACTTGTGTTAAAATGCCGAAACATTTAGGTAGTCAAGCAAAGGAATTATTTCATCTACTCGAATATTTTATGAAAAAAAAAAAAAATGTTCCCCGGCAGCGAATAGTTTTGTAAAAAAATCAACGATGATAGTGAAACTTATAGACAATGTGTTGTGAATGTATTTTAAGTATACTTTAGGTCATCTTTTAATTTTTTTATGCACTATATTTCGATTTTTAGGCCATTCTGTTCAAAAATATCCTTATGTAACATATTGATTATAATACAATGTTGTAATCAGAAAAATATTCTCTTTTAAATTCTTATGTATACATCTGATGTGTCCAACACATGACTTTCCTATGTAGTTATTACAGGCTTTTTAGTATTATTTTGTACAACCTATTGTAGAACCTCTGTAAATGTTTATCCTACATTCATTGAAAACAAAAATAATGAAAAATTAAAATTTTAAACTTTTCCATTATGGTCCATTTTACAGAAATCATGTAAAAAACAAAAATTATAGAAATCGATATCGCAAACAACTTTTAGTTTAATAATTTTCTTAAAAATCAGAATTGTGCACATTTTATCAAATTTATCGAATACGGACCATTTCAGGAAAATTTAAAATAAATGATAACAATATTAGAAGTAACTTTTATTTGAAGAATTTTCTTCTCAAAACGTAAATAACAGATATATTTCATAAAATATAAAAATTACCCTCTATAAAGTATCCCTCCAGCTGTTAAATCTAATTAGTTCACCGAAGGCCCGAGTAAAGCTTAAATTTAAAATTTGGTGTGTTTCTTTGTATCCGTTCATGAGATCGAGAATACACACACACACATACACACACGCGCGCGCAGGCACGCACGCGCACAAACACACGTACAAATAATAAAGTTGGAAATATAATAAAATTTTAAATGAACTACAAAACAACTTTAATTAAAACAATTTTTTATATTTTCGTTATTTTAAAAGTTACACTCATTATTTTACACATTTGAGCCAATCCTGTATACTATAATAACTATAATTATAATAGTAAAATATTGGTTAAATATGATAACATTAAATAACAATTTTGTCATAAACTTAATAAATTCACTCCTAACAGGTTACATGTTTTTGATCCATGAAATAAATATAAATTATATTGGAATGATCCGAATCTTGATTTGATCTCGTACGAATTATTAAAAGAGTTAACGAAACAATCCTACTGTTTACAGTATAATATTATTTATTTCTATGTATTAGTAATTTTTATCAAAAAATCTGTCTAGTACATTAGTTATAAAAAATAATACGTAAGAATTGGATTACTACTTATGACGCAAAAAAATTCTTTGAATTTGTAGTTATATTTAAAAATATCTACTTTTCAGGTCCCATTAGTACCATTTATACCATGCCTGAGTATCGTCTTTAATTTATACCTAATGATGCAGTTGAGTGAATTCACGTGGATTTGGTTTTCAAGCTGGATCTTCATTGGTAAGTAAACGAGTTACTAAACATTCCAAAAGTAGGAAAACCATTTTACAAAATAATGACTAAATACCTATTAAAAAAAAAATAATTCATATTTCTACCAACATCCATCAGGGAGGTCCAGAATCGGACTTTTATTGGATGTTACGAATTAGTTTGTGAAGTACCTATGTTATGTTATGCTTGGTATGGAATATTATTGCACTGCATCCTAAGGGATCTATTCTCCCCCCTCTAACGCTAATGCATAGAGGAAATAGTTTCGATGCCTATAACAACCCTTCCAATCCTATCTTCTCAAGAAATTGTAGGATTTGGAGTGGCTTCAATTTTAGTAGATCGACTCTCTTCTATTTGGTATGCTTGTAACGTGCATTTTAAGCTGCTCAAATTACTAGATAAAATTCGACTCACCTTGTCTAAGGGGCCTATTCAGTAAAATGAATGCAATCTATGGAGAAGTTATAAAAACACACAAGACAACGACGAATTCATCTGCCATAAAAGATTTTCCAATCAGCTCAAGCGGCAACTGTCTTCTACGAAGAATCAATCGCTAAAGTGAAAATACTAAATAATTTTTAAATACATTTATTCTTCTCTCTCCTCCAAAGTGGCAACTCCTATTCTTCAAAAGAATGATAAAAGTTTATGCTCCTCCAATTTAGAAACAGCTGAGATCTTATCGCTCTCTTTCTCCAATGCCTTTTCCATCGAGCTACCAAACGATTTACTACCCCATATTATCACTACACGTAATTTAGCTTCACTTGATAATATATTTAGTTACTGAAACCCAAATCAAAAATAATTTACTTGGTATTAAAGCTAACTCATCCCCTGGCCTTGACGGCTTAACACCTTATTTCTTAAAAAATGCGCAGGCGTTCTGTCATACCGTCTTTCTATAATAATGAATACATCTTATTATTGATAAGTGTTGAAATTTGATGGGTAGAGCTAATTATTTTTGAATTAAAGCTAAATAGGGCTGAGGGCATACTAAGACACGGTTTAAATGAAAATATTTAGTTAGGGATTTTACAAAATTTTATGAAAATAATAAAAATCAAATTGTTTATTACTAACTAAAGCACAGAAAATAGTGTTCATTTTAATTATTGTAAATAAGTCTTTGTTTTAATTGCTAACTAAAATACAGAAAATACTGTTGGTATTAATTATAAATGAATCTTTATGTTAAACATTATTTACTATTCATTATTTAATTTTATCTATATAAAATGAAAATTAGGTATGACTAAATTTGAAAAGGTTTGTTAAATAGTGAAATTTGGTAAGTACAGTCTTGTGGTAATTTTGTATTCGACAACTGACAATTTGTTCTTAAAAGTGGCAAAACGCTTAAATAACATAATGAAACATTTCTAATTCCCCTTACAAAATTATGAAAATTACTTTCTCATATGCCCAAAGTGAAAAGAAATTAAAGAAAAATTGAAAAGATCCGGTCGTGCAGGCATTTGTTCTTTCTTTTTCTCAGCTTTTTCAATTTTTAGTCTGTTGTCACTTTGGAGATATGAGTGTGTAATAATTTCGTAGGGGAGTTAGGGTTTTTTCATTTTCATAATTTCTAAATCTAAATTACAAATACATATTTAAAATTTTGATTGCTTTCGTAGACACCTACTTTTTTCTTTTTTAGCTTCGTCAATTTTATTAATTTGTTTACAAATAAAATGCATTCTTCTGATTAGGTAAAAGCAAATTATTGCAGATGTAATATTTTCTTTGTGTTCACCACACCCTGCAAATAAAATGCCTATTTCTTCAATTTTATTCAATATTTCAAAAAGAGTTTATTGATGAACTGGGTTTCATGATAAAACCTCTAAGATAGTCGATTCCAGCAGTGATGTTAAAGAAATTAGAGAATGAGAAGGGTATATTAGAAACCCTTTACTTATTAACGTAATTAATTGATCTTTAGACTGAGGCTCAATACTTTAATTGTCGAATGCAAGTTTCACATTTTGTAAATCTGGTAGCTTTTCTTGCAATGTATCCAGAAACACAAGATAAAATAACTGGTGAGGTTTTTGTAATATTGTAGTCATGATCTTTTAAATTAGGTGGTTTTCGTCTTTTCCTAATACTGGATAAGTATGAAGGGAGATTCGGGAATATACATGGTATTGCTTCGTTCTTTAATCTCGGCCTTTCCCTTTTTATTTTGTTAACAGTACCCTTAGTTAAAATAGTCTCATCAAATTTTAAAATATCATCTTCTAAAAAGTGTAGCTCGCATACAGAATCATAACTAGACAGTACTTTATCAGCCCTAGGAATAACATTGTTCTAAACGTTTAGGATCCTATAAAAAATATTTGCAATGACTAAATTGGAGTTCAATAAAGAAAAATAACAGTAGTAACTCTTTATCTAACATCAAAAAACATAAAAAAAGCAAATTTTCTTTTCTAGTAAGTTAAATTTAATGTTTAATTATTGTTGTTTAAGACTTTATTATTTTTTAATATAGAATTTTATAATTAAATAAACTACACTCCGTAAGATACGGGTTGTTACTATTTTACAATAAATGTATATTATTTAGAAATAAATACATTATTTTACTTACACTAGGAGATTTAAAAAGACTTTGATTTTTATCTCCTTGTGATTTCTTTCATTTTATATCGGATTTATATCCCGTTTTGCAACCCGGAACGAAGCAAATCCTGCTTTGTCGTTTTTTGTTACTCATTGTTACTTGTAGTCAGGTATTTTATTTTAGCTTATTTTTATTCTTTTCACTAAATTTAACAAAAATCACTTTAATTTCCATTGACTTGCATAGAAAATATACGTCGTTATTTTGCCACCCGCCAACTACAGTAGTTTTTTGAAACTTCATAAAAATAGGGACGGAAATTTGAAATTTTACCAAGGCCGATTCGCCTTCTTATATCTAGTCTTCATAGTAACGGGTCATGTCAAGTGAGTTATCTAATCAAATATGTGAATTGTATTTTTTTACCGTTATTTTCTACAACTTGTCTGACTCTCATTTACAGGAGTTTTAAACCTAGCAGATTACTCTTTCTGATGATCCCGCCTACCACTTCACAAAACACCTTGCTGCTTTCAGTCTAATAGCAAACAATTAGTATAAAGCCGTGGGTGGATATGATGTACCCATTTTATTTAAAAACGCCGAAATAACTTCTTTTCAAGATTTCGATTTTGATATTTCACCAGTTAGATGAGAATGGTGAGGGGCATTATCCATTACAAATACAACATTTGGTAGTAAATTAGGAATAAATTGTTCGCCAAACAATTCATAAATAAGGTTATGACGTTATATATTTATGATGATAAACTGAACAACTCAAAATATTTATGAGAGAGAATAGCGTTAGATTAGACATTTATTTTTATTGTAGTGATATTTTTTTTCTTAAACATATTTTTAATTTTTTAGGATGCCTAGTGTACTTTTGTTATGGAATAAAACATAGTGAAGAAAACGTGAAAATTGATGAAAGCGGGAAAAATGAAGAAAACGACAAAAACGAAGAAGTAGAAAAAAATGAAGAATCAACAGCATCATTAAAACTGGGTTTTTAATAAAATAAAATAAAAAGCATGATTTACCTGCTTTGTGATAGTAGATCTACTACTCATGTAGGTATTCGTAGTTTATTTTATTATAAATCATAATTTCAAAGCAATAAATAATATATCTATGTGATTTCTAGTCAGACTAAAAAAAAAAATATTAATAGGTATTATTAATAACATACCTAAATAAAATCATAAAGTTCTTAAGATGCGTATAGATATAACGGGCCGGGCCGTGCCTGGGCCAAAAACAGGCCCAGCTTCGTCAGATTTGTATGGTGTTAAGGATCTACCGTACGATGGAAAGCAACGGGCCTACTTCGATCCTATTCGGCCCGGCATGTGGTAAACACATAGCACCGTACAAATCTGATGAACTTGGCCCGGTCTTAGGACGACGCAGGCATGACCCAGGCCTAGCCAGTTATATTTATATGCACCATTAAGATCTATTTACACACATTAGTGTCGTATAAGTGTCAGTAAAAAATAAAATATCGTTGGCTTAGTCTCAAATCGATCTGTTCAGGCAAGTCCGGCGCAGTGACGTTTTTTACTATCAGTGCTGCTTCAGTATCCGTGTTTTTATTTAAGTCTAGTTTTGTGTATTTCACGGACGAACTGACGAAATCTCGATGAATTTGCCCTTGAATATGGATGAAAAACTAATCAAGTTGTCCTTCTATTTTATGAAGCAACATATTAAAACAAGTTTGAGAAACTCTAAAATATAATATTCAAAAAATGTTTCATCGTGCACTAATTCCTTATGTACAGTAATAAATTCTCCTTCACTTTCTCGTTTGATCCAAGCTTTATGCATCCATTTTCGTTTGTTTATTTGATTTTCTTCATCTTTCTCGTCAAGAGCTCTGGCAATAATCCCTAATTCATCATCAGTAAAACAAGTTATATTGCATGAATTTTACTAAATGTATAGGACCTACCACGGATGTGTGTGAATTGGTATCACTGATCGATACTGATTTGCACCGATACTGAACTGACACGGCACTGAAACGGCACTGATGTGTGTTTACTTTATAAATCTAGAATTTTTTAATATATGCATTTAAGTTGCTCTTGTATATAATTAGATAAAAATGTGTTTTATTATGATTATTCTGTATATATTTTTAATAAAATTTTCAAAAAAATGTCATGTTTTATTTGTAAAATCAAAAAAGTAAACCAAAGATTTGTTGGTACGTTTTCCTTGATGCCACTATCGCGATGATCGTTAAACGATAATCGTTAGCGGGAGTCCTTAACAACGAACAGTCGTTCAGTAGAAGAGTGAGAATAATATAATCGTTGGTCTCTAACGTTTTTTGTTGTGAAAAAACCACATACATCCCTCAGATGAATAAATAATCTAGATACGTAACTGTCATCTTTAAGCATGGGCTTTTTTTTCGGAAGACTAAAGTAGTGCGCCCATTGAGCCCGAACAGCCTGTCACAGTCTGGCACAGCACGGCCAGCTCGGTCGGCATTTCCACAGCAGCCGCCCATTGCTTCGGCATGATCAGCAGTGGGATTCTCATCTTTCGTACTCGGGACATCCCGAGAAGCTCACTATTCGCTAGAAAATAATCGAATCTTATGTTAAATGGAGTTGGGTATCGATCTAGACGTGAAAATAGGGCTGCCTTCGCGTTGGCGTTTTATGTTTCTTGGTTGTTGTTATGTCATTAAATGGTGTTTTTGGTTAGAAAATGTTTCGTTTGAAATATTTTATTTAATAATATTAAGCTAATGTATAAAATTTTTGTTATCTCTATTAAATTAGACGTTTAGTAGAATACATATTGTTATTTTAAAATACAGTAAAATGAGTGGAAGACACTTGTGTAAGGAGTTGATGGATAATTTGTCTTAAACCTTAATAAAAATGATTCACCAAATTGACTTCTGATAAATATTTTATTTTCTTATTAAGTCAATGTGACAATACCAAAAAACATATACCGGGTGAGAAACTATCTCTAACATCCTCCCCCCTTTTATTGTAACATAAAAATAAAAAATTAACTAAAACCCAAAACGTTGAGGTGCTCGTACAATCCGTCCTTTTCTGGTGATGGTAACTGGTTTATCTGCAACTTGGGGAACATCTACTTGATCAGCATCTTCTTGAGGAGCATCTACTTGATGAACATCTTCTTGGAGAATATCTTCTTGAGTTGTAAAATTATTTTCCTTCTGTCTTTCATCACTTGCCAGCCATTCTCTATCTTCCAGTGCGTTTAATTCCATCGGGTATAATCTTTGAAATGGTCGTATAATTTCGCTGTGTGCTGTCTTAATCTTAGCCACTCTAAATTTTCCATCCTTTCCGGGAATAACTTCCACAATCTTTCCTAAGGGCCAATCAATTCTCTTAGTATTATCGGACCCCACTAATACGATATCGCCAACCTTTAACAAAGTGGCGTTCCGTTGACCAAATTGCACTAATTCCGCTAGGTACTCTTTTTTAAATCGAGATCTCAAACCATCTCGCAATTTTTGTAAATATCTACATCTACTAACTAAATGGCGTCGATCGATGGTGTCTAAATCTATAGTTTCGTTTGTAGGTAATCCTTGGAGAAACATTACAGGTCTAAGTGGTAACAGATCTTCTATATTTTCCGATACATAAGTCAATGGTCTGTTATTTATCATTGCTTCCACATCGCATAATAGAGTTACAAGTTCTTCATATTCTAATGATTGTTTTCCTAAGTTTCTTTTTAATAGCTCTTTTACCATTCTTACCATCCGTTCCCACCATCCACCCCACCATGCTGAACTAACAGGGTTAAATATCCATCGTATTTTCTGAACTGAAGAATATTCTGAAATCTTTTCCCAATCTATTTGTTTCAGCAAATTTTGAGCACCAACAAAATTAGTCCCGTTATCTGAATAAATTACTGTTATTCTTCCTCTTCTGGCAATAAACCTCCTCAAAGCTAAAATAAAGCTGTCAGTTGAAAGAGATTTAATTAATTCTAGATGGATAGCCCTATATACGGCACAAGTGAATAAAACGATCCACACCTTCTGTCCACCTTTTAAATATAATGGCCCTGCTAGATCAACACCAGAGTTTTCGAAGGCCGCTATACTACTCACTCTTTCTCTAGGTAGAGGTGCAAATGGTACCTCTGCATATTTTGCTTTAAATCTCTTGCATTTTATGCATCTTGAAATGACTTCTTTTACTGTTCTTCGTCCTTTGATTATCCAATATTTATCTCTTAAAATGCACAGCAATGTTTGAATTCCAATATGGTTATTTATATTATGTTGTTCTAAAATTAATCTTTTAACAATAATATGTTTATTCGGTAACAAAATAGGATATTTAAAGTCCTCGGATGTATCTGCAAATCTTAATCTTGACTTTAGTCTTAAAATTCCCTTTTCATCTTCAAATATTTGTAAATTTTTTAAATCTCTTTTTTCAAAACTTTCTTTTTGGATCATCTTTATGATGTTGAATTCAGCTTCTTCAACTTCATCGTACGTTAACTCTCCACTCTTCACCTTTTTCTTTGAAGAATTATAATAGAAGCGGTATATCCAAGCTAGCATTCTTATAATCATACTGTATTTTGAAAAATGCTCAAAATTTTTTGTTATTCTTTCTTTTTCAAGACTTACATATGTAGCTATTTCTTTTCTTTTTTCTTGAGTAACTTCTTTTTCTTCTTCTGGGTGTATAATAATCTCTTTATGTGGCCAATTCTCAGAGTTCTGTTTTAACCACTCTGGCCCATTCCACCAGGTATTCTCCATTAAGCTTTTAACAGTACAACCCCTAGTTAAAATATCAGCAGGATTCATGCTGCCAGGAACGTGTCTCCACTGTTCAGTGTTTGAATATTCATTAATTTCATTCACTCTATTCTGTACAAATGTTTTCCAATTACCTCGTGTCTTTATCCAGGTTAGACTCACCATAGAATCGCTCCAGTAAAATACAGACAAATTTGAAAATTCTCGTACTTTTCTAATATTCTGGCATAATCTAATCCCAATAAGACAGCTAAGTAACTCTAATCTTGGAATCGTAATGTTCTTTGGAGACAATCTTGATTTTGCCTGAATCAATTGCAAAATGATATTATCATTAAATTTTGTTCTCAAAAATATACAGGAAGCAAAGGCTAATTTACTTGAATCGCAAAAAACATGAATTGTAGGTGTATTAAGTGTCGATATAGAATTGATCAATAAACGTCTAGGAATCATGCATAATTTAAGAAAGTTAATTTCTTTCATCCAATTTTCAAATTTCTTGATAATATCCCCAGGCAGTTCCTTGTCCCAACCAATTCCTAATGACCAGGTTTCTTGCAACAATAATTTTGGAACCAAGGTGATGGGATGAGTAAACCCAATAGGATCGAATATTCTCTGAGCTGCTGAAAGTAATCCTCTTTTGGTCCTAGGAGTATCCGTTATTTGACTAATCATACTTGTATCGCACATCAATACATCCTTTTTAGCATTCCATAATATTCCTAATACTGAACAATATTCATCTGAATAATTATTATCGATGCTATCTAAACTATGCCTCCATTCCCTGAGATTAAATTTTCCTAATGACATTAATTCTTTTGATTCTCTTATGAATTTTTCCAATTCTTCTGATGTGTTAACACTTGTGACACAATTGTCAACGTAAAACGATTCTTGCAATTTTCTTGCTGTTTGCTTTAAATGACTTGGAGAATTCATTAAATGGTAATTAATTGTTGCACCTAATAAAAAAGGACTTGATTTTAGGCCAAAAACTACCCTACAGTGTCTATATATTTTCTTTTTTCCAAGTGGGTAGTTTTCCCACCAAAAAAATCTTAAATGATCCCTATCTTTAGGAGTGACACTAATTTGTAAGAAAGCCTTTTCAATGTCGGCTGTAACCCCTATTAAACCTATTCTAAACTTTAATATGAGTGAGGGAATGAGTTCTAATAAATTAGGTCCTTTCTGTAAACATTCATTCAATGAATTACCTCTTAAATCTTTAGCTGACGCATCGAACACTGGACGAATCTTCGTTGTTTGGCTGGATTCCTTCAGTACAGCATAATGAGCTAGATAGTGGATATCTTCACATGTAATACTTGGGACTATTTCTATAATTCCTAATGTTTCCCATTCCTCCAAAACTCTTTCATAATCTTTAAATCTATTAATTGCAATTAATTTTTTACTGGTAGATTGCAATCTAGAGACCGCTAATTCTTCATTGCTTAAAACCATCACATTATCATCAATCCATGGAAGATGAATTTCAT